GTTTTGCTAACGTTCGATTATCGCGGGACCATTAATAAAGATTTTTAGCGTCCCGTAAAAATATCGCGTGAACATTGTTCATCTTAAACATATAATGATTATTAAGTTTGAATTAGCCATCTTGAATAAGGTGTGGATATTAAGAAAAAAATTATTAAAAATATGTAAAATTCTACGTAATCCAGTTTTATTAGCCATCATCTAACAATATGATCCAATCTAATATTGACTTGTCGAAGCGTATCGCCAGTTTTTCTAGGAAGATGGCTTTCAAGTTATGTATCTCGAGTAAAATAGGTGGCGTCAGGTCGGCATCGTGTGGCATTTGAAAGCTTTGTTGAAACACCTTTTTCATATTTAAAATACAGCGCCATAAATATGGGTGAAATTTCTGAAAATAAATTACTATGTTTTACAATTTTATTACGATGTAGACATAAATGCTGCCCAGACACACTAAAAAGAAATTTTCTGTTTATTGTTGAAATGCGTTCTTAGAAGAAATAGTTCAAAGATGATTTTGTCACTTTCATTCTGGAAAATTGTTGAAATCTGGAATTGAAAATCCTTGTAGTGGTTCAAAAACGTTAATGATATGACCATAAAATTGAGCAATGCTGACACATGAATTGCCATAACATCACCGAGCGTACCATCACTACCAAATGGTTTTAAATCACTTAAACAAAGCTGACGACAAAAAGAAGCTCGATATTTGGGCGCTACATGAACTGATGTAGAATAATCTACTCGTTTGTATTTCTACTCGCGAGGTTTTATGTATACACAAAAAAACAGCCACTTCTAAAGTGTTTCATCACGAACTGCGAGAAACAGATCACGTACAAATAAAAACAATGTACTCTACGATCTGTAGCAAAGCTCAGACTGGCAACTAAGAAGGTAACTCTAGGTGCTTTTTTGGGTTTAGAAAGGCTTTATGAGTTGGTTCAGCGTGGCGAAACGGCTAATTCGTACCTCTGCTGTCAACGTTAACAGAATTACAACAAGCCATTAAAAAAAACTGAATGGGTGAACTTAACTGAATTGAAAGATGGCGTTGCCTGCCACCATGATAACGCCGGACTACACACATGTTTAGCTATCCGGAAAATATTGACAACACTTGTATATAAAATGAATGCGTACCCTGTATGACACGAACCTTGTTTCATCAGACTACAACCTGTCTCGCTTTCTGCGTAACTTCCTTATTGGTGTTAATTCAGTTTCAATAGAGGGATGCAACAATCACTTAATCATCTTGTTCACTCACAAGCCATAGGAAGGAAAGTTCTACAGAAAGAGGTTTATTGCATAAACAGAAAAATGGCACAAGGGCATCGCTCAACATGGCTTATATTTAGTTTAGTAATATTATTTTAAAGTAAAAAGAAATATTTGCTTCAATTTCGGCTTAAACACACAGTAGTTTTTCAACAACCCAAGATTACACTATCGTACTTAACTCATAGAACAAACAGAATCATAAAACGCGATATTTTATTGGCAATCATGGCATGGTGTGATACTGGACATCCTAATGAGCATTCGAAACGATGAAAAGGTGTATAGCACAGACGATATCCTGGATGTCAAAGGTTCGTAATATTCTTTCAGGTTTTGTTTCCTCTTTTGTCCGCAGTGTCTCGTGGTAATGGTGCTACGGTTTTTCTCCGTTGGAAGTCATAGCCTTCATAATAATGTTCGTCAACCTATGCATCCTTTGCTATTTTCTATACACGTATGATGACAATAAGGCTTTCATTTTCTTGTTGAATTAAAGAAAAATAAAAACTGATTGGTGTGCAAGAGACATTCATAAGCAACGGGTGGCTGAGCGCTTCCAAAAGTCGTATTCAGCGTTATTACGAAGTTTTCAGGTCTGTACCGATTTACAGACAAAATTGAACGTCGAGGTCAACGCAACGTCACACTTGACCGTATGTCTTCATAGATGTGGCTTTGGAATGATTTGAATATTTAAGGTACCTCCTGTAGTACAACTGCATAATAGAGCTTGCGACTTCATAAGATCAATTATAATAGATATCAGTGATAACTTGCATCTAAGGCTTAAGTACCGGATGGTGTTGTCATTAAACAAAGGAAAAGCTTTAGCATCTATAGATTTTGAGATGGAGTTCAATTTAAAGCACTTTGCTATTTGTGTGCACTTACGTTTGTTTATAGTACATAAACGTTGATTTTCGCAATTATGTGGAATGATTTTGGCTCAAAATCAATCTTACTTTTACAGGAAATAAAGTTTTAATTTTATGAAGTATTACTTAATAATTCAGAGCAACTAGCACTGCTCCGTACCATATCAAAGCATAATTACCTAATGATTCATCGTTGCAATAGAAAAGAGCTATAAGCTAAGTCATTTTGGTGAGCCGTCAGTAGAGAAGACCAGATCAACTCTATAATAACCCATAGGAAAAACCTCAGCTTGTAGTAATCAGCTCGTATGGATCTATAACTTCCCGACGCTATCTATTGGTTAGCTAAGCCTCCATATACATAAGACGAAGCAAGAAAAGATTCTGGCAGAAACTGATTGAGACGGTCGACCGAGACGTTTTTGGACTTTCGTACCAAATAATTATGAGCAAAATAGAGGAAAAATCGTCACCGCTCACTTCTGACGTAGCGGCGAACGCGGTAAAGTGTCTTTTCCCAACGCAGCCCTGGAAAGATGACACAGCGCCCGAGGTTGACGAAGACGACATCTCTGAAGTGACAGTTGAAGAAGTGGGAGAAGCAACGGAAGAACTAGCGACAGGCAAAGCATCTGGATCGGACGGCGTGTCGTCAGAGATGGTCTGGATGCTAATCAAAGGACGGCCGAAGATCCTTCAAAAGTTAGCGAATGATATCCTGCGACAAAGGATTTTCCGAACGTATGGAAGGAAGTAAATTTAGTGCTGATCCCAAAGTCTGAAAATAAAACAGAGTCGACGGCTTTTCGACCGATCTGCCTTCTGAACATGGCTGCAAAGGCCATGGAGAGCCTCATAGTCGCTCGGTTGACCAAAGAAACGAAAGAAAAAGGAGCACTGTCAGGAGCACAATACGGCTTCCGGAAACAGCGTTCAACACTCGCAGCTGTAGACAGGGTCCTCAAGACAACGAGAGCGGAGATGAAGGGGACGCTGAAGACTAGAAACTTTGTACTTCCTATTTTGCCGAATGTTAGAAATGTCTTTGATAGCATGAATTGGAGAACATTGATGGTCATACTGGAGGAGAAGGTGATCTCCACGTATCTATGCAGAGTCGTCAGCTCGTATTTAAAAAACGGAAGACTGGAGGCAGACGGGACGAAATACAGGGTCACAGCTGAGGTACCACAGGGAGCGGTTTTTGGACCAACACTGTGGAACTTAGCCTACGATGGCGTGTTACAAATTGCGGATTTACTGAGAGGGGCAGAAACTACTGCACACGCAGATGATCTGGCTCTTATTATCAAGGCCCGGGCAAAAGGCGACCTGGAAAATAAAGTAAATGGGTCTCTAGAGTTGGTAAATCGGTGGATGGAAGAACACTACTTAAGGTTAGCCGCTGAGAAGACAAAACCAGCATTTAACTGGCAAAAAGAAGATCAGAAGGGTCAATCTCTTTTTGGGATATACTCAAATCAGTTCCAGAAAAAAGCAAGATACCCCGGCGTAATGCTGGACATCGCGATGTCTGCAAAGGAACACATTAAATATGTAGCCGCAAAGGCGGGAAAAACAGCCCTCAACATGTTCCGCATTCTGCTTAGAGTAGGGGGAGCCTCTGAGGGCCATCGGAGATTCCTCACTTCTGTAAAAGAGGCTAGAGCACTCTCCGCAGCCTTAATGTGGGCAGATACGACTGCGACGCACTGCTGACCGCTCAAAGGATAGCAGCAATACGCGTAGCAAGAGCGTACAGAACCGTTTCAACCGAAGTTTTTTTAGTGCTGACCAGAATGGGGTCTGCTCGCCAGCGAAAAAGCGGAACGCCGTCTGAAAAACGTAAATAACGACGATGACATGGCCGCACGGCCACGATGGACAAGTGGCAGCGATCGCGGGAAACTCCCAAAGCCAATAGTAGAGGAGAGGTTCTGGGCGTCTTATTCCAGATGTCAAGGAATGGAAGCACAGCACCTATGGAGAGCTTACGTATCATTCCTGCCAGGTCCTGTCGGGCCACGGACAGTTTCAGACTTACATGGCCAAGATCGGCAAAGCGTAAGCGGACACCTGCGTATTCTGCGTATCGAGCATGGAAGACGGGTCAGAGATAAGCAGGCACACAGAGAGGTATTAATGACGGGTAGCGTAAAGGGAATGGTGCAAATGACGAAGGACAAGGAAAACTTTGATGACATTGTGAAAAAAAGGAACAGCTCGAAAGAATGCGCCGCAGGAAAATAACGGAAGGACAAGCTCGAGACGAGCAAGGATCCGATGTCCTACTATCGGCTCTTATGGAAAAGCAGGGCAGAAGACCCCGTTCGGGAGTTAGTATACCCGGGGAGGAGAGAAGCCCGAATGGAGGATGGATCGGAACGTGACAAAGAAGGATAGTAGCCCAACGCCCGTTCCTGCAAGTTATGGTAATATTAAACTATATCCCGAATTAAAGCTCAAGTCTTTGAGGAGTCCAGGATTTAATGGGTGAGAGTACCACAGTATCAGATGAACAACACAGTTGTGAAGTCTGGTCTGCATAATGCATTTGCACTTAACCTCCAATAAAAAAAGCTAAGCACTTCAAACTCGACCTCATTAAGTAGATCGTGCTCGAACCATTCAAAGTGTTTTTGATTTTAAAAAAATATTGCATTGAGCGATAACTTTTAAAATTTTAAGAAATTTAGCAATTTGAGCATAAATATTATTTGTAGATAAAAATTTTTAATTTTGATAAAATAAGTAGGAACAAATATATTTTATCGAAAAATTATATTGTTATTAATTTTTTATAAATTCTTTATAAATACATTGAAAATAGTTTTTCTTATTATCTTATGTGTAACATATCTATGAGAAACCAGGTTATATGCATATAGGTATTGTCAGTGTTAATAGGCTAGATAAGCGTCATTGTCCATGGTACATCATCTGTCACTTCTATTTCCGCTTCATCGTTTGTAATACTCTTTAAGGTGCTCACATGTCTTCAGAACGCCAATCCCGCGGAGTTGAGATTCCACTTTAAGCCTTTAGATGTGGCTGTCACCGGACTTCCAGCTGCAATGATGCCGCAGTAGCCACCTCGTACACTTTGTCGGGCCATTATTCGATGCGACCCCTTTCGAAGAACCCAGTGAACTTTGGCGCTAGTGTGAATAACAACATCGGCGTGGGTGATGTCCACACTCTAGTAAAGCGTATTAATATTGGCCATGATCTGATCAAGGCGCCCGCCCATTGCACAAAAAGCCAAAATGATTTCAAGGCCTGGGTGTCGTCTGTATTTGGAGACATTTCTCGAAATCTGTATGTTCCTGATCAGCAGTTCTTACAACCGCTTGAAACATTCTCTCATTCCATCGACCACCTTTAAAAAGCTAAATGATTTTGATGCAATATTCTTCAACTTATTGACGCATCCTGGCTATGATGAGATGCCAAAACATCATTATATCATAAAGGCTGTTATCTAGAGGTACCTCCGTGAATGGCTGATTCGTGCAGTCATCACAGAGGGCGCTGCAGTCTAATTTAAAGACGTCACCAACGCGAGCATCAATGAGTGTCTGTTCTATAGCCCATTGAAAATGACAAATTTACCATGTTACGCATTTATAGAAGGGCAAAAATAAACTACCATTTATTACTTGGATTGAGCTTAATGGATATATATTACATGCGCAAGTAGAATCGCCACTCAATCAGGGTTTTTTAAATGAATTGTTGCAAATTTAGCCTCCATGCTAAGTCGAACACTGCGTAAAGTACATATATTTTCAAGAGATGTGTGTGATATTTTGCCATTTGGTGCGAATATTAAATGTGAGGCATTTCTGTAGGTGATATATTTCAGTATAGACGATAAGATGTAACCTTTACTTAATTTCGAAAAGAAACGACAAAACAAGTGGAGATGCCGGGGATCGAACCCGGGGCCTTTCACATGCAAAGCGAACGCTCTACCACTGAGCTACATCCCCGTGGATTATCGGTACTCAAACAGACGTTATCAGCATTCGGCAATTTTTTGGAAAACATTTTCCGCTTATTTTTGAGTGGTCGAGACAATAATATGCCAATGTGCTGCTAACGGGTCATCTGTGTTATGGAAAGTTTAGATCGTATTTAAGCGATACTGCGACAAATAAGCTTTGAAACATGTGAAAACTTTAACTCCGAATAAAATAGCAATAAAATAACAAATGAATTTCAAACAGCTGGTTCCTCTTTCCCAAATAAAAAGTACTAAATTAATAAATCAAGAATCCTGTAATATTAGGCTAGATATTAGAATCGTGACTGCCTTCACAATCACCTTGGATTATTGAACCACTTAGTGTAGCAGTCTATACAGGCTAATCCTAATGGGCACCGCATTTACTCGCCGGCTGTTTCGCAGCTAACTACAACAGTTAATAATATAGAGTACTCGCTATCTAACTTTAAACAACTACCAATCTATCTTATTTATCTTCAGTATCATACCTACAACCCGTACTATAGATATAAATTATATCTATAACCACGGTCCACCCTTTTCTATGCACATCACAAAATTCGGGTTTAATTTTGATGTGTAACTAGAGGAGTATTCCTTTGCTAATGTGTCTTTGTTCAGAATTAGATAATGTAATTAAGTATTCAATATACTATTTTTGCAGATGCTTCTGGTCCATGACTTGAGTTCGGAGGTGGCCGAAGCGATCGTAGGGGATGTAGCTCAGTGGTAGAGCGTTCGCTTCGCATGTGAAAGGCCCCGGGTTCAATCCCCGGCATCTCCAATTTTAGTTTCAATTATTCCTAAACGGAGAATCATAGTTTATATTTATTTGGCTTGGGTATTTCATACTAGATTACTAACTGGAATCTACAAACGCAAGTAATAAAAATTTCAATAGAAATTCTTCACGTTATCCACAGTAGTCTCCATCTAATATTGACAGCACATTTTTGTAGTTTTCACTTACAAACAACTCCACAGTTTAAGGATTTTGCCAGTGTCGGGATGTATCCAACAAATTAAAATAATGATCTTATAACACTATTTTATAAAAATAGTCTGTGTCAGAAGTGGGGTTCGAACCCACGCCCTCTTTCGAGGAGCAGAGCTTAAATCTGCCGCCTTAGACCACTCGGCCATTCTGACTTGGTGCCTCGATCGCTCTCAAGCCTTTACTAGTATACCCGGCCATACCGTCGCCTGAGTCACTTCAATTCATGATATAACTCGGGAAAGGCACGTTCTGTAGTATACCTGAAAGTAAAATCAAAATATAGTTTTAGGTAACTTGTCGTGGAGTAAATACCCACAAAAAATCAGGTATGTGAAAGTAGCAACACGTTAATTTATGCTGCGCACCGTTTTGTGTATGGTGCAAAGAAGATGTCATTTAGGCATGGTTTGAAATTCATTTAATATAATAAAATTAGCTGAAAATAACTAAGTCATTGCACAGAAAGGATGACTTAGGGCTAAACCACGATTTCCTTGCAAATACGACTAAAAAGGATTGAATTAAATACCGGGATATTAACGCGAATGTTATATTCACGACGATGCCTAACTTTTACAACACTGTTAAGTATTTTAGAAGACCTATGGCAATTACACAATTCGAAGCAACAAAACGGAGCACAGTTCTGTGTTAATGGATACGCAATCAAGCAAAATATATATTAGAATTTAATTTTGAACATATACGTTAGGATCTAATGGAACATGAACCTTATCGCTTGACTGCTGGAAATATGTACTCCACAAATCAGCGTGATAGACCATGTCCAACAATACGCGATGAGCATTATCTTTCGGCAGGCGTGATCAAATAGATAAGCCGGCCCATAACTTTTATAAATATAGGATTAGGTACTCTGACGTGTACACGACTCGAAAAACACCAAAGGATTACCTTCACTATTAATATCACCGGCAAAAATGGTTATCGGCAGTCACTATTACATAGAATAAACTACAAAATTCATTTCAAAATACTGTGGTTACATGCACAGCGTTAGCAAACATTTCCCTAATGATTACATGTAGTACTGGTTATTAGATTTTCTTTTTTTAAGTAGTGTTGTATGTAAGTGTATTCCAGTTATGCGATGATAATAGTTACGGTCTGTGGTAAAACTGTCCATGTATATTATAAATCAAGATAACGCTCAAAGCACTATATTGAAATGTAAAGTATTTTAAAATTATTCCGACGCCGGGAATTGAACCCGGGCCGCCTGGGTGAAAACCAGGAATCCTAGCCACTAGACCACGCCGGAGACGACATATCAATTCTTAGATAGGGTATTCAAGTTACTTTATAGTCCTTCTTTGTACGAAGATCAAGTTGTACAGAATTTTTGCTTGGTAGACGCTATTGCCGTAACCGATGTGATTAATATATAAGCCATCATTATAAGGCTAGTCCGCAGAAGTATATACTTAACTACTATTATCTAAGATAGGTATCAAATAATTTCTAATGCAACAGCAAATTCCCTTCACAATCCACTGTAGAATTTAGAAGTTGGATTAAAACGCTACATCTATATAGAAATTGTGGATTAATTTACAATAGAAATCCAGAGTCATTGATTTTTTTGAAAAAGTCACGTTTGCCGGTAACTATAATTATATATTGAAAGCATTGTTATAAATATTGACGTATAACTTTAAGTTAATAGATCCCAGTAGGGGAAATCTGTACGATTCTTGAATTAGTAGTCGGGTTACCTGATATTGGGTGAATACATCAAGATTACTTTTATGTTCATGCTAGCGTTCGATTATCGCGGGACCTTTAATAAAGATTTTTAGCGCCCCGTAAAAATATCGTGTGAACATTGCTCATCTCAAACATATAATGATTATTAAGTTTGAATTAGCCATCCTGAATAAGGTGTGGACATTAAGAAGAAATTATTAAAAATATGTAAAATTCTACGTAATCCAGTTTTATTAGCCATCATTTAACAATATGATCTAATCTAATATTGACTTGTCGAAATGTATTGCGAGTTTTTCTAGCAAGATGGCTTTCAAGTTATGTATCTCGAGTAAGATAAGTCGTGTCATGTCGGCATCGTGTGGCATTTGAAAGCTTTGTTGAAACGCCTTTTTCAGATTTATAATACAGCGCCATAAATATGGGTGAAATTTCTGGAAATAAATTACTATGTTTTACAATTTTATTACGATGTAGACATAAATGCTGCCCAGACAGACTAACAAAAATTTTCTGTTTATCGTTGAAATGCGTTCTTAGGTGAAATAGTTCAAAGATGATTTTGTCACTTTCATTCTGGAAAATTGTTGAAATCTGGAATTGAAAATCTTCGTAGTGGTTCGAAAACGTTAATGATATGACCATTAAAACTGATGATTGATTGATAAAATGTGAAATAAAAATAAAAAATAAAAACACATGAATTGCCATAACATCACCAAGCGTACCATCACTACCAAATGGTTTTAAACCACTCAAACAAAGCTGACGACAAAAAGAAGCTTGATGTTTGGGCGCTACATGAACTGATGTAGAATAATTTACTTGTTTGTATTTCTACTCGCGAAGTTTCACGTATACACAAAAAAACAGCCACTTCTGAAATGTTTCATCACGAACTGCGAGAAACAGATCACGCACAAATAGAATCAATGTACTCTACGATCTGTAGCAAAGCTCAGACTGGCAACTAAGAAGGTAACGCTAGGTGCTTTTTTGGGTTTAGAAAGGCTTTATGAGTTGGTTCAGCGTGGCGAAACGGCTAATTCGTACCTCTGCTGTCAACGTCAACAGAATTACAACAAGCCATTAAAAAAAACTGAATGGGTGAACTTAACTGAATTGAAAGATGGCGTTGCCTGCCACCATGATAACGCCGGACTACACACATGTTTAGCTATCCGGAAAATATTGACAACACTTGTATATAAAATGAATGCGTACCCTGTATGACACGAACCTTGTTTCATCAGACTACAACCTGTCTCGCTTTCTGCGTAACTTCCTTATTGGTGTTAATTCAGTTTCAATAGAGGGATGCAACAATCACTTAATCATCTTGTTCACTCACAAGCCATAGGAAGGAAAGTTCTACAGAAAGAGGTTTATTGCATAAACAGAAAAATGGCACAAGGGCATCGCTCAACATGGCTTATATTTAGTTTAGTAATATTATTTTAAAGTAAAAAAAAATATTTGCTTCAATTTCGGCTTAAACACACAGTAGTTTTTCAACAACCCAAGATTACACCATCGTACTTAACTCATAGAACAAACGGAATCATAAAATGCGATATTTTATTGGCAATCATGGCATGGCATGGTATGGTACTGGGCATCCTAATGAGCATTCGAAACGATGAAAAGGTGTATAGCACAGACGATATCCTGGATGTCAAAGGTTCGTAATATTCTTTCAGGTTTTGTTTCCTCTTTTGTCTGCAGTGTCTCGTGGTAATGGTGCTACGGTTTTTCTCCGTTGGCAGTCATAGCCTTCATAATAATGTTCGTCAACCTATGCATCCCTTGCTATTTTCTATACACGTATGATGACAATAAGGCTTTCATTTTCTTGTTGAATTAAAGAAAAATAAAAACTGATTGGTGTGCAAGAGACATTCATAAGCAACGGGTGACTGAGCGCTTCCAAAAGTCGTATTCAGCGTTATTACGAAGTTTTCAGGTCTGTACCGATTTATAGACAAAATTGAACGTCGAGGTCAACGCAACGTCACACTTGACCGTATGTCTTCATAGATGTGGCTTTGGAATGATTTGAATATTTAAGGTACCTCCTGTAGTACAACTGCACAATAGAGCTTGCGACTTCATAAGATCAATTATGATAGATATCATTGATAACTTGCGTCTCAGGCGTAAGTACCGGATGGTGTTGTCATTAAACAAAAGAAAAGCTTTAGCATCTATAGATTTGGAGATGGAGCTCAATTTAAAGCACTTTGTTATTTGTGTGCACTTATGTTTGTTTATAGTACATAAACGTTGATTTTCACAATTATGTGGAATGATTTTGGCTCAAAATCAATCTTACTTTTATAGGAAATAAAGTTTTAATTTTATGAAGTATTACTTAATAACCCAGAGCAAGTGATGCTGAAACCGAAAAAATTATAGCCTCAGCTAACCTGACTATGATTGGTTAATATACACTATCCGAAACATGATTCTCAAAGCTACGTAAAATTTCCAACGGTTTTCGAAAATTAGTGCAAAGTAGCGAAGTTCGGTGATCATTAAAGATGTACCTCTTATGTTTATACCTACGATACGCCAGCGGGTTGTTTTTCTCGACTAGCCCTGTTCCGTACCTATCAAAATATTATTACCTAATGATTCATCGGCACAATAGAAAAGAGCCATAAACTAAGTCATTCTGGTCAGCCGTCAGTAGAGGAGACCGGATTAGCAACGTAATAACTCATAAGAAAGAAAAACCTCAGAAGAAAAAGTAATCAGCTCGTATGGATCTTTAACTTCCCGACGCTATCTATTGGTTAGCTAAGCACTCCATACTGGACCCTATTTAATTGAATGTGCTCGAACCACTTAGAAAAAAACATTGCATTGAGCGATTTTCATTGACTACATTAAAAATAGTTTTTTTTTTTTTTTTTTTTGTAACGTATTTATGAGAGGTACGGTCAGTGTTAATAAATAGGCTAGCTAAGCGTCATTGTCCATAATACATCATCTGTCACTTCTATTTCCACTTCATCGCTCGTAATACTATTTGAGGTGCTCACAAGTCTTCGGAACGCCAACTCCGTTGAGTTGAGATTCCACTTTAAGCCTTTAGATGTGGCTCTCACCGGGCTGCCAACTGCAATAATGCCACAGTAGCCACCTCGTACACCTTGTGGGGTCATTATTCGATGCGTTCCTTTTCGAAGAACCCAGCAAACTTCGGTGCCAGTGTGAATAACAACATCGGCGTGGGTAAAGTCCACACTCTGGTAAAGCGTATTAATATTGGCCATCATCTGATCAAGGCGCCCGCCCATTGCACAAAAGGCCAAAATGATTTCAAGGCCTGGGTGCCGTCTATATAATACCTGGAGACACTTCGTGAAATCTGTATGTTCCTGATCAGCAGTTCTTATAATTTCGACACCGCGGTTTTCATACTCCTGAAGGACATCGTTCGTTACTGAGTCGAGATCGCCAGTTATAAGATCGGGTGTAAGCTGTGGCAATTCTTTGAGTAAACAATTACTACCGCCATCAACGGCAACTCGCGCGCGGGCCGATCTCCACAGCCTTGAAATAATCTCGCTCTGTCGGACATTCAGAGGTTGGTTAAGTATCACCACTGCACAGTTTTGTCCGTCCAGCCATTGCTGATAGTTCCATTGTCTTACAGCAGTCATCGCGGGCGCTTGAAACGCTCGATTCGAGCCGATTTTGAGAAAACCTGCTATGAAACAGAATAACGTCAGCCGCCATACAACAGCAAATCGATGTTCAACGGATACTCTAACGGTAAACGCGGTGCAGCGCGATGGCCGATAAGCCATCGTTCGAGTGGTCAAATCGTCTGCTCCCTATCGTTTCACGTCACGATAACAGCACCGGAAGATCTCCAGACGTCAATCATAGTTATGTTTAGTGTATTCATTGTTGACAATGAAAAGCCAGGTAATTTTCATGACACGTGAATTATCAAGAGTTTGTAATTTCGTGTGTTTTTGAGCTTTCCTATCCAACCGTTTTCTTACCGAAACGATGTAAAAACGCTGACATATTCCTATGATGGCAATTGGTAACTGATTCTGATGGCAGGTCGATTCATTTTCGTCGCGTAATCAACAGTCCGACCACATCATTTTATTGTGGTTTCGTTCGCCGCCATGGCTATTATTTGATCACGTCTAGGTCAGCTGCAGGTGGTAGCTAACGGGGCGAAAGAGGGCTAGCCGAAAGGACGTCGCTAGGAGGAGGGTTCTATGCAGTGAGAGTAATAGCCACAGCTGTCGATATTGGTTAGCGAAGATCTTACAGGAAGAATCCGTAGCAAAGCGCCGGGTAAACACACGATATTTGATCCAGTTAACATACAAACAAATAGCGGAAGAAAGGGTAAACGAGAAAAAGTTTAGATCTAGTTGGCAATTGTATCATATTGTGGCACCTGTAACTTTGCTACATAACCAACTAGGCGGCGAAGCAAGAGATGATGTGGACATAATTGAAAAGATAGCTTTGGTGTAGATGTTGTGGTGCATATCATTGCTTATCACATACATCTTTTCTTTAGAAACCACGGCTTACTGCCTGCAAGAGATAGAGCGTTTGCAAGCTTTTTCAAGCTTGCAAACGCTCTATCGCATTCGATGTAAGGGCGATGATAGGAGCAGCAAAGAATGGCCGTTGTCGCCTGTGAAAAGCGTCATCTATACACTGCCTCACTACAAAGAAGAATACATTGATCAATGTAGTTAGCTTATGCTAAACGCTGACTCTATGACTGCTTTATTTGAAAATTATATTTAGACATATAGCAGTTTGTTTTGCGAGCTGGTTACACATTGAACCCTTTAAAACTATCAGCATTGTAACTAACGCCTTGCTTATTTCGAGGCCTCAACCTTATTGTTGACACCGGCTACGTGCACAGCTATAAATCCCCATTTATTTTTAACACAACCCAGCTTGCTTTTTTTTTTTTTTATTTTAAAGACAAACCAGCCTTCATGTACTCCATTATCCAGACACTTCCATGACTGCTACGTGATGATGCATGGCAGTTCTACGATGCACAACTACCTTTCACTTACCTATTTTTTTCGCAACTTATTAAGCTTTTCTTTAAGACTGCCGTGAACAGCGGCTAGGTAGACAACCTTAGATGATAGAGCATGTTGAAAGGTTAAGGTGGCATTTGCGCACCAAAAGTGAGACTGAAGAGTATCTATCTAAATCTTGGGTATGTGAGCTAATTAATAAGCAAGCTAGAAAATAACTAATACATAATAAATGTATTAAAAATAATAATAAACCAACTAAAAATATAACTATATAAATAGATAAATAAAAATCAAAGTTATTCTGAGGTGGTTTAAGCCATTGTCAGGGGTATTTAGGTAAAGGTATGATTAAGTGTAGTAAGATCGACTATACAATTATGCTATGCTACAAGTAACGCAAATACTGCTCTGTTACCGCGGATAAGGAGTCATGCTCTAGAGAAGCCTTGTCCACCTTCAAAACGCGCGAAGCTGAGCTCTTCAAAGGTCTTTTATTTATATCTTAAGATATTTTACTACTCTTGTTAACATGATTCTGACTCGTATTTACCTGACGTTTGCATTTAACGATTTTTATCGACAAGTTTTCAGATCTCCCGAACAGCGTAATAATTATGATCTAATAATAATAATATAATACCAAGATAAAATAACACGCGAGGCTTGCTTCTAACACAGGCCTTACATTAATACGGACTCGAAAGGAGCCGGGCGCCGGTGTAGCAGTCAGGTCTGCACCAACTGAGCAATTTCGTCAATTTTACATGTATTTCAGTATTAATAATTGCACTAACATTTAAAAGATAAGAACTAATTATAAACAATAATATAGGAACAATCTGACAGGAACCATCAATTTATTTACTTTGATATTTTTAGAGGTAAAGGTGAAATCAATACATATACTACATAAATTATCGCCGAGCTTCGTTCCGCCTTCATCGACACAAGTCTGGATAGGTATGGAGTGTACATTAAAGGACAAATATTTGCTGCTATTTCATGGTATAGCCTGGTTATATACGCTTAATATGTAGAAATGTGCCGATAGATCTGTCAAAGTGTTGGTCAACGAAAAACAGGCTTCGGCACGCTGAAATTGCCTTATTTTCAAAAGTTAGGGACGATGCTAATAGGTCACAGGGGATCTGGCCTGATGTTCCGGCGGCGTATGTCAGCCTCTTCAATTAGTTTTGATATTGAAAACTCCGATGCGACTGAAATTAGCGTAGGATGAACGATATAATTGGTAGCAATAAACATGCTTAAATAAGAAGGTAGACCATTGCAAATTGCAATTTTTGATTACCTATGGAGCACTACTAAAGGACTGATAGGAGTTAGCTTTGAAATATCAACAAGTTGATATTTCAAAGCTACGTCTTTCTCATGATATTAAGACCGAACAATCGAATTACTATATAAAATATCATAGTATAGGCGAAAACATAAATAATTACGATTACGTTGTAATAAGACAAATGTCCGGAGCTTCCATGCAAATTGCATGTTATTTATTAAAACATGCTTATAGAAAATTCCAGGTCGCATCATCGTGAAGTGCCATTTGTTTACCTATCAAGCAGAACTTCATCGGGGCTTATATCGATTTTTGTACACCCAGCCACCACTCTCAGACACAAATTCCCTGGAAGAAGGTAATCACATGTTTTATACAATTCAATCTAAAAAACCTTGGTACAGTTGATATTGTCTAGGTGCAAGTAAGTTGGCTTTTGTTTAACTTTAAACTCGGCAACGAGAAGGAATGGCAGCGAAGGTTGGGTGTATAGAGGTCATTTAATAATAGTAGGTTTTTTACGTGAAACGTTTCAAGCTGCAGTAAGCCAACAACGAATCGCCATTTTACAATCTACATTGTATTCGTCGAACATCTCGCTATTAATTTGGTTTTTGCGCATTTGATCTTGGCTTTGAATTTAAGCTTCCCCTACGTTTTGTAGCAGCGCGAAGTTACTAAGCCATAGAAGAGTAAGAAAATGGAAAAACGACCAAGTGTGTTTATTTGAGAACAAAATTCAGTATACCAAGAAAACAACGGGCAAATTAAATACTTCATACGCCAAGGAGTTCTAGTTACAAACAATGAAGAAGCCGACTAAATACCTGAACTTTATCGGATTAGTCGATATGAAGTCAACACGACAATACTTCAGAGGGCACTGAGCAAACTTACCGAGGTTTCCACGTTACACTCAATCGTTCACGGTTATACCTCTCTTGACGTTGTGCTTCTTCGACTTTGTTTTTATACATCGTGGCCAACTCAAGATTCTCGTAAAACAAGTGATACGTTACATTAGCCCAGATCCTGCGCGATTCAAATGGCTCCTGTTGTTCGACCGAACGTACATGCATTCTGTTGTGCGTTGCGGTCGCAACATTAAAAAGCACCTTATTATCGCCGTATCCGGACTTTGTCTTATGTCAGCAGTAGTAGTTAACATGTTATCAGAAAAACATTCGAACGAAGATCCCGTTTAGTAAGATGTGTATTTACATATTCGCGCGTATCGCGTTGCTTATGCCTGTCTTATTATATATATATATATATATATATATATATATAGAGGGTATACATATTTAACGGACGTTTTATACATATGCCTTGGATTATGTTTGAAGGAAAAATAGGGTTACAACAACCTCTATAGTGTAGAGCATAACGATGTGTACACCTATTTATATTTATTTTTATAAAACAAAAAAGCTGGATAAATCGTAAATTATTATGCTGATATGCGTAATAAATGTTAACGAATTGAACAGCTTAATAAAGGTTTAAGCCAATTAAAAAGCAATTACTAAGAATGAAGAACGTACCTTTCTATCCTTGACTATTTGTGAAATAAAAACAACATCGGTCCAGTTTCCTGTTAACTTAGCAATTGTGTCACCCTTATTTTTGATATATCCCTTTATGGTGTTGGCGTCACCGCCAAATACACCCTTGGTGATAAACTTAATTTCGCAGCTCATTTCAGTATGTCGACATGCAATATTTATACTGTCCCCAAATTCCATCCAGGGTGTCGAGAAGATTGACCTGATAAACAAGTTGTATTATGTGTAAGAGCAAGTTGAACGATTAACTATTTCTTTTTTCTTCCTTTTATCTTTCTTATTTGTCAAGTTTTAACTTTTAATGGAGCCTAATTAAGCTCATTGAAAGTAACGCATCTAAAGCTCTGCTTCTCTTAACAGATACATTAGGATAAGTTAAATCTGGTATAAGCGTACGTTTAACAAGCACAGCGGTCATTAAACTAGTCTAAATAATAAAGACACTGAGGTTGGATCTCTTAGGCGCTGTAACTGACCATATATCGCTCTAATGAAGTGACAACAACGAAAAAATACTGTAGCAGACTAAAGGACGATCATATCCTATCCTGTACAGTTGGGCCTGTAGGCAAAAAAGGTTCTAAGGAGATGAGATCACCTTATATAGACAGTCGGGAAGGTACACTCGTATTCTTCGTTGTGCGAGTGCAGTATGATTCTTCCTTTGCCTACCAGTTGGACTGTGACGTGTGTCCCTCGAAACTGGGTCTTCGTATGGATATGGGCTGTACAAGTGATGTTCATCGCTGGACACTCCGCATAAAAGGCGCTTATGGGCGGTTGATGCGAGACCTGCTCCGCTATGAACCTCAGATCGGAGCGGATTGTCTCGCGTGAAGGCATGCGGCCGTCCGCCGTAGATGAGGACGTTGGCTGGATGAATCATGAAAGGAATGGCTCGTCATTCATGATTCAGTTTATCCTTTAATCTTCTTGACGAAGGATACCCTGCCGAACAGTTGTGTGCAAAGGTTACTGCACGAGCTAACGACAAACAACAAACCAGATTACAGGTTCTGGGTTGAATTGCTACTAGCAAGCTGGCTAAACGTTCAAGTACGCTGAGCGCGACAGCTAGAAAGATGGTGCAAAAACTACTTTTGATTCTACTAACTTATAGTTTGCAGATCGTATCATTAGAAATTATCAATGATTTGCACCTTGTGAAAATATTTTTTCCTGAGCTAATAATTCCCGATGCCCCTGATCCTAGCATTCTTAGGGCTATCTGGTATGGGCCATAATCTCGAATAATGCAAATTTACTAATTACTAGCAGTAGTTGATGTCACTGCTTAGTAGTTGACTACTACTCACGTGTTTACATGCGCGTTCTTTGAAAATAAAGACATTGCGTTACCGGTTTCTTGAACAAAGATGACTGTCCGAAACTTTGCTATACCTATCATCGAAATGGCTGGCCAGGGCTAGGTTTAACTTTCTGCCAGGTGCAAACAGTGATAATTAATGAATCTAAAATGAAAACAAACCTGAGCTACGTACTGTACTTACGTCGTTATCGCTGATTTCGTAGTAGCACTTGAACACCTCCCCAAGTACAGGGTTGTAGGGTTTCTTTGGGCGTTTCGGCTTGAGACTGACGTGATATGCCGACATGTACCATCGAACTAAGGCCACCATCCTGTCGCACGGAGTCCCATAGCTGGCAATACTGAAAGCATACAGTATACGTGGCATTTTGGCCTGCTTTTTTGAATCGGACCCTACAGTAGCATAGCGTCCTAAATAACACAAATAATGAACTCAAATTGTACTACTACTATTAAGATGTCTAGTTACTTAATAAATAGGTCCGCGTGTGTGAAGAAACTGGCGTAGAACTCGAGAAGGGATCGTCGTTCGAGAATGTGCGTAGGCAACGTCACCTTAGTTAAGTCCATGCCGATGGTCACTTGTGAAAGCAAATGCATCAACACACTGAAAACACGATTAGAGTCAATGTCAGTACTTTTGCAACGAAGTAATAACTACAGTGATCACGCTCAGGTGCCGGATGGAGTTCAGAAAGCGTGCTTAAGTTTGGTGGCAAGGAGAACTTCTCCTATCAGAGTTATGTGACACAACTTTGCTTGGCTAATATCTGTGAATATAGGTTTACGCCTGCTTATACAAACTATCTTGATGAGATTCGTTGCCGCTAAAAAAATTATACATAAGGTCTAGTCTAGCCTACCTTATTAGGTTTAAGTAAGACCAAATTGTTTAAATCGTTTTTTCTACTATTATTAAAATTTTCGATAAATCGGAAACTTGCTGCCACACCGAAGACAAGGTTTACATGCAAAATAAAAAAACTCAATAGTAGATATTCATAGACAGAATTACCTTCGTGTTTCGCGAATGTCGTCATCTTTAGTAGCATCATTGTACATAACATCGAGGTCAGTGGGCTTAAATTCGCGCGGTGCCTCGGGTGGAGGCTGAAAACGTGTTGGGGTCGCTTCAATATGTGGACAGTTGTGGACAACATGGGAAATGGCAAAATTTCTGTTAGTTCATGAACTTCAGTTACCTCCCAACAGTGTTTACTTGATATACCTGCTCGTCACGTAGCTAAGAGCCGCATCGCAGCCCTTGCAGCGTGCAAGTTTATCAATTCATCTTGCTGGACTAAGTTGGCTCCATTTTAATCATTGCAATTCTACATATCGTATTTTTACAGTTGAAAAGATAGCTTCCTCCTTAATTCGGTATATCGAAAAGCCCATTGTCCAACCCAATATTCTGAAGGCGTCTCAACGATAATAAGATAGAACGACCCTACTAGGGTTTTATCAAATAAGAAATAAAACGTAATGTTCATAAAAGTACGCACATACATACATACATACATTCATTCATATGTATATATACACGATATGTAGATTTGTGCTTAGACACGCTCAGTGCAAACCTTTTTTTATACTTCGCACCTTGGCAGAATCCACAGACATCTTCCATTTATTCCGCAGCCAGTTGAACAGCTTCGTCATTTTGAACAACTGACGACCTAATCGCTCGCCGACTATCGCTAATGGGCACCTCAAGATCAGATTTTATTATTATCACCATCAGTCACAACCAAAGTCAACGATACGGACTACACAAGCTGCGTAAATAAAGGAAGCTATTGTGCTTTTCCTATTACCCTCAGTTACAGATGCTTAGGCTCACTCTTCGAGACAGCACGTCCGTAAAGCCTGGTTGATTTTTCCCTTAGTAATCCATTAGTCCATATCCCATCCTCATCGTATAAAATTCTAGGTAAAAAAAAAATGTCTGCAATTGCTTAATTTCGTTTTAAAGTTAAAGATAACATTGCCGACATAGATCATACGGTCTGGCAACGACTAATATTCTGTACATATATACCTAGAAATGTATACGACATACGGGTATGTATATATTTTCGGTTAATCCGAAGTTTTCTAACCTGCGGCGGGCTCTCAGCCTCCATTTCCTATATACTGAATCATGCCGAATCTAATCCCTGAGGTACCGCCACGGGTATCATAAAGGCCGAGTATGGCACAATTGAGCCTACTCCACGAAACAGGCAAAAAAAACCATTGCGGAATGCAAGCCTCGATGTGAACTACTATGAATACGAAGTACTAATCATCAAGCCTAGTGAACATCATGAAGCAATCACAGCATGAAGTAAAACGGATTTGAGATGACACGTTATAGCTGGATATTTTCGAGGGATTTTGTTGCATGGTCAAACGAGCCGAAAAATTAGACATCAGACTTCTGTTTGTCAACAAACGAAAACGTATACTCAGTATCGTTTTATCATGTTATTGTTTCAATTTTAGAATCCACAATGTTATAGGTGTATCAACGTTTAGAATTATTATTTTAGAAAGAAGAAAAACACCTTGCTAAAGAGAAACGTATGCTGTTCGGTCCACGATTCCGACTCTGACCATAACCTATATTTGATAGACTCATACGTTCAGTACGCGTAACATGTACTTGCAATTATTATTGAACGTATCATAGACAGTGGCATTGGCAAAGTCCGGTATGACTTTGATCCGGCTGAGGCGAAAAAAACCCCGGTGTGTCATTGACCATGGTATTTGCCATTTATGAGACGACTAGCCCAATTCCGTAACGCGTGCAGTGGACGTTTCAACCAAAACATTACCTGTTATGGATAAATATGAAATAAGTATGACAACTTTTCACATATGGTCGTACGTAGTTAAAAAATCAAATCACAATAGTAAAAATGATAATAACTATGCACGTAAATGGTTATGAAGATAAAAAAAAAAAAAAAAAAAAAAAAAAAACGTTTTGTGTAACAAATGAGATCTGTGCGTTTCGTATATGAAACAGAAGTATCATTTTGACATCAGCATTGAAGCAAATGTCGTTTTCTGGATCGGTGCCAACATTTCATACAATTAATGTTACCTAGGAAAGTTTGATTCAAAGATAACTTATACTTCAAAGAATTTATTTCTTATCCTAGTATCTGATATAATATTATAGATGAAATTATGCCGAAACTCACTGCCTGAGCAACATACTGCTAGCTAGTGAGAATACGTCTAGCGTACATTTATTCTAACTTAACTATAATAAAATAAATCCATTCGACTTTACTAAACGATGGCGACGAAATATTAACAAAAAAAAAGGGAGAATAGGGCATATTGTATTCTTTGCTCGTCACAAGAAATACGTATGGGGGCTCAGCGTGCGGCAAGCCCTAGACCTGGAGGTCATACGAAACGTAGCCTGCAGTTCACAGAAATCGATTCGTCCTGATTCCAGTGCAGCGCGTATCTATTTTCTCCGTTACCACAATGGGCGTTTTTAGATATTAACCGCAATGCAGTGATACGTATGAAGAACGTTATCTGATACACTTCTATAAATAAATAAATAAAGATGCTTCATATCTCGTACGAGTTTATCGTTGAACAAGCGAAGCGAGCGATTGTTGTTCTTCAGTTCCAAGTTCCAATCCCAGTACCTCATTGTTGGCTGACCCTAGAAGTTATTTCGACAATTGTATGTTTGAAGTCCTGACGAGCGTCCGACTTGAACAAACTATGGCCAATTTTCTCAGTAGCTTCATATCTACTAATGTTCATTCGACAATAAGTATTCAATGCCAAGCTTAGCATTTTGCCTTGATACAAAGGATACGTTTCTTTTGAATCTATCACGTAGAGTGGTAGCCATATTATAAAAATTGATAAGCTATAGGTTGCAGGCTTGAATATCGTTTCTACTCCATGTACTAGTATCACTCTATTGCCTTCAAGTGTGTAACTTGATGGCATATGGACTGTGTTCGACGTTAGCGTTCTAGGTGGCTTATTTCGAGCCCAGTCAGAGTTCTAAAACAGGGTGACGGTAGTAATCTTTGCCTTAGGTGTTGTGCTGGGGATGAAGTTGAATTGATCAGCCAGATAGCGCATTTATAGCTAGAATTGGCAATGTGGGCCAACATTGAAACGACCTTATGACCTTAGAACACTTTGTTAGGTTGTTTCATAGATGTATATATGAATAGAAACGCTTCAAATATTCATGAAGACGCGATAGAAGAACAACCGTAATCTCAATATGTACTGATAGTTGTGTGAGGTTATCAACAGACTGACGGAATATTCACAACGAGTACACAATATCATTTATCGTCGATTTCATTTAGCAATTTCTAGTCTGGAACAACTCAATACAACTGCTATTATAACTAAGTGAAAGGCACCAAAACGAATACAGACACACGTACGTCTCAATAAAAGTTTTTTTTTTTTTTTTTTTTTTTTTTTTTCGCAAAAATAGTGTTCTTCTAGAATGGAGCATGCACCAAATTCAAAGGCATAAAGCATCCTCATGGTAGATCGTCCAACGACTGAGATAGATTAAATTATCGTACAATCATAGATGTACTGTCCCTGGGAGTGCGTACAATTTGACATTATCACTGTATAAACATTTATCTCTGTTTGTAATAAATCGTTTTTTTTTAAAAAGGCCACTATCTCGACAACTCGATATCTAATATAATGTTTTTTTTCAACAGATGACACGCTACTACATGATGGTAACGATACTTCAACAAATACATCACTAGCTTAGAGTTTCTCTTCTATTAGGAAACTGAATAAATACTTAATCAATAACTATCTTCATACAATTTCTTCTATACAACGCCGCGGTAGAATCATATATAGGTTCCGTATATGATTAGTTACAGTTAGATAGAGTTTAGTGGACAAATAGGATTGTTGATAACAGTATTGTTAATTTCCGAGTGCAAACTCAGTATTTCTAGCTCCCGGGTTGTTCTGACAGCTTAAAGCCTCAAACACGATCGCCCCTTCCAGCTTCCATAAGCTACCTGCTGTGTACGTGGCCGCCGTCCTGAAGTCGTCGATTCACAATACGGCCCGTCATAGCTTACGTTGTACTAACAGCGACCCACGTTACTAAAGTATTCCCATTTCGCACAGATGACTAGCAGCGGATCGTCGAACGATTTCGTAAGGCTGACAAACGTCCATGAATAGCCTAATTTCTCAAACGATCCTTCCGAAATTGGCTTTCACCAATTTCACCAAAAGTTTGTTGATTTCGCAAAGTCGATTCTTCTAGAAAACTTAACTTCATATTCCAAAAATGAGAGCTTCTATCCATTTTATGGTTTCGCAGAAGCCGTACACATGTACTGCTGAAAGGTCGATATCCCGCTCAGTCTCCGATAGCTTCAACACGCCTAACAGTGGTGTGATTGAAGAGAAACAAGGGAACGAGATAACAATACTTCGATTACTTCTCACCTCAAAGGTACACGTAAACGACACGTGGTTGCCTTTCTGTTCTAGGCATAAAGCACAAGCTACGAAGGCTAAAGTTGCTTAGAATGATTCAATATAGATCAAATATGGCACGAAGACGTGTCTCGCAAAATGACGCCTCCTAGATAATATAATGGCTCCCGGCCCTTTACGCCAAGAAGACCTCAAACACTGTTAGAGCGTAGCCTAATTTAGATGCAACTTGCAAAAGACCAATGAGAGTCGTGGTCTTTACGGTAGCTGTCATCTTCATACGATAACGGAACGAACATCTTCTGATTTTACGCAGACAATTCACATCGCTTCGCCTTCAGCTTTATAAACGAGCTTCTAGTACCGTCAGCTAAATGTCATGTACTCTTAGAATCTGTGATAAATGCTTCACAACAATACAATCTCACGAGGTGATCTATGTTCTCCAAGCGGTACTTAGCAGACGGCTACGGCGGCTTTACGCACCAGCATTCAGCAACGGCAGCCGTTGGATCTGCGAATAATTCATGCCAAACCCCAGAGCGAGAGGCAAAAAGGATGACTTTTTTTCTGTTGTCTTCCAGAAAACTTGGACTGGTAAGAAGCTCCTATCTGATATAAAAATCAAGTGGCACGTTCCCTATTTACGATGCTGCTTAATACTGCATGACACCAATACCAGAACGTTGAAACTATACATGTATGAAAAATACAGTATCTACCATGAGGCATCATTAAGTGTCCGATCAGGCCTATAGTACAATATTCATTTAACGAATAAATCCTCTAACTAACAACAATGGAAGTTTGACATCTGCCATGATTAAGGCAAAACAGAAATTCAGTTATGTAAATACAGTCTGAATAATGGAGACTGTAATGATTAAATTTTATTCAGCGGACTACGATTGGCTTTTGAATTCATCGGTTCTATATTAAATATATATTAAAAGGAGCCATACAAATACGTAATAAGAAGCGTAATCTTAAAACGAATACTATGGGCCTGACAGCAGAGCAGGGCAGGGGCCTTATAAGTTTATTTCGGTCGCGAGTGAGAACAATTGTACATCCGAGGGTGCCCATAGAGACACTGAAAAAAAAAAAAAAAAAAAAAAAAAAAAAAA